TTGAGACACATAACTACCTGTCTAGCTAACACTAAGTTAGCTAGCAATGACAAGCGGCAAGACGTACTTCAAAAACGAGGCTCTTATCGTCTATATATAGTGTTAAAAACATAACAGTGGTATTGTTATAGTTTATACAGATTTCAGCATAGAAGTTTTGATGTAAGCGTATAGCAAGCTCGGTATTTACCGTTTAATTCACGACCTTCAGCAATCACGTCCGGTTACTCGGAGAGGAAGGAAGGCGTTTATGAGGGCCAAACTACGGAAACAGGCGACGGACAAATACAGCGGTGCTGATTCAGACCAACAGGTCCCCACCAGGGACAGCATTGTGATAACAAAGGAAACAAACAGGACATTTTTTAAAAACAGGATAATTAATGATTTTATTTGCTGGGAACATTATGCGCCATAGAGCAAAGCATTACATTTGATAAAACATCTCAACTTATTTGCTACATAGCAACCACGTATTAAATTCATAGTAGTATTCATACTAATAAAACTGAAAATAGACGTTACAGTGGTTAACTGTAATAAAGACAAAACTTTTTTTTTTTTATGTAAAATGTATATTTAAAAAAATCAGATATAATATTGCCTTTTTATAGTCTTGTACTTTTATTAAAAATTGTTTTACTTGACTGTATTATCTATATAAATTGCACTTGCAGTTCATATTACTCAAGAAGAAACGAAATGAAACGAAAAGACAACTGATGCGTTTTAAAATAATGAATGATTCGGGTTTCTGGAACATCTGGCAACCAACAGCTTGGCTTTCCATAGACAGTCGTTTGGGACTGGGTTGCCATATCCCTGTCATTTTACGCGACTCTTCACTCGTTACCTTGTCAGTACAGGTTGCTTGCCTTTCTCGCTGGACCTGGCAACACTGGATTGGGTTACAATCACCCATCCTGATCTTCAAATAGCAGCAGCGGAGATCAACAGCCTCTTCAGTCCGGAGAATTGAAACCGAAATTCAACACCCGCCCGTTTCTGTAGAGCCTCAGCCGGTAAAGCGTGGTGCTCACCCCGGCTCGCGCGTGTGTAGTGAGAGGAGAAGCGGATCTTCTAGCTTCAGTAGCTTGTTCTAGAACGAGGACTGACTAGTTATCGCATGTAACGATAACGTTAACGTTAGTTCACAGTACAACAACTGGTAACTTTAAACAAGCGGAGCTAAGCGAGCACCAAAGCCCTTCCTTCAACATTTACTTTCCGGGTTTTCCACTTCAGACGGCGAGTCTACCGCGGTAGCTTTCTTATATTGCAAGTTTATACCTATCAACAATTTTGCTGGCAGAGTGTAATATTGATGTAACACTGCTAAACGAAGTTAACAGCGCTTAAGGGTCACACTGCCTTTGATCGTTCCAGTATCATGCCTCAGAAGCGGCGCTCGCAGTCGTGGACGGAGCTCAAACAAGCCGGTAACGAGTGCTTCAGAGCCGGTCAGTACGG